CTTCTCGGCCAAGCCGCTTGCGCTTGCTGATGGGGATCTCGCTCAAGCGAATGAACCACTGGACCACAGCGTGTGAATTAGGCTCAGACTCTCCCGAGACTGGGCAGGAAGAGAAGAGACACACAAGCACCTTGCGGCGCTGGCCCTGGTGGCCGGCAGAGCCAGTGTCCCGTCGGGGAGCAGCTCTTCCTTTCGATGACAAGTTAGCACCTCGGTCCGAGCCCCTGCCACTTCCTTCCTGGGGGCCGCTGTGTAAATCACGAAACCTCTCCAACTTGGAGAGAGCGGCCGTCTACCAGAGGGTCTTAGCTCGGGGCCCACGCGTTTTAATTGCCTTATTTTAGGTGTTAAGAAGGTGACTCTGAGAGAGGGCTCACGGGCTTCACCGGTCTGCCTGTCTGGGCAGGGTCTGTAACCAACTCATGAGTGACAACTACAGGCACCAGATGCTTAAATAAGCCACGCAAATGACCAGAAGTCCAAGGGCAGAAACGATTGAGGCCGGTCCTCAAGAAGTCGAGAGAGCCACAAGACAAACACTTTAAGAAGCTGCTGAGCTGACCCCGGCCAGAACAAAAGGGACACACCTTCCCCACCAATGCTGCTCGCTACCTTGGGGTCCTCCCAAACCTCACGCAGGTGTTGAGTGGTCGCCCCTCCCCATCAGCCCCACTGCCATGTCCACTCTCCAAAATGCCCTGGACCCCCAGGTCCCCTAGGATGGAGCCTGCCCACACCTTCCCATTTAAAACCGTTTCCCTCATCAGCAATTCTGCCTGTTGGGGCCCAAGCTTCCCCTGGACCGACCCTCGGTAGCCCCGTCTCTCCCTTCACCCCTCTACTCTTGTCTGTCCTTCTGTGTCCCCCCATGGGAGCTGCCTCCCCCTCAACTTTTTCCTGCACCATCTCCCGTCCAGCTTTCCTCACCTCCTCCTCAAGGAAGGGGCCTTTGCCAAAAGGCAAATCCTGGTTCTACCACACGTTGACTGAGGTTGATGGTTATTTAACAGTTCCCGTAATTAGCTTTCTGTCTCTTACCTGCCTCATTCTAGTCCCTCCCACTGGCTGAGAAGGTAAGAGGGACACAGCTGGCCTTTATCTCCTCTTCTCCTTCCTCTTTTCTAGGACTATAGCTGTGCACATGTTTGAGTTTACTCACCTAGCCCTTAGCTTTTCTCCTCAGTCTAGACACAGAGAGCAATGTCTTCTCCCCATTTTACAGATGAGGAAACAGACTAAAACGTTAAATGATTTGCCTCATGTCACAGAGTTACTGTCGGAGACAGGATTTGAATTCAGGGTTTTCTGACTCCAGTCCAGTCCACTATGTACTACTGAACTAGGTGATTAGAAATAAACATCTTAAAGGTAAATTACCTGTTTTCCCTTTTTACAGTTCTCCCTTTTCAATAACTAGTTGTCTCATAATCAAAACCATCTCAATCAACTTATCGAACTGCAGACTATGAGAGCTGGATGAAGGGCATTTTGATGGCTCAATGGATTGAGCGATGGGCTTGGAGTCAGGAAGACTCATCTTTATCTTCCTGAGTTCAAATCCGGACTCAGACACTCACTAGCTGTGTGACCCTGGGCAAGTCACGTAACCCTGTGTGCCTCAGTTTCCTCATCTGTAAAATGGCCTGGAGAAGGAAATGGCAGACCACTCCAGTATCTCTGCCAAGAAAACCCCACATGGGGTCACGGAAAGTTGGACACAACTGAACAAGAAGAGCTGGAAAAGGCTTCATAAATTACTTAGTCCAATCCTTTCATTTCACATACAGAGAAAAGCACTTTTCCATCCTATAAGGTATTAGATGTATATAACTGGTAACCTCTTTATTTCCTCTTTCCTTTCCAACCCACCCCCTTTTCTTGATTCTGAGCCCCTAGCCGCCGGTGGTTCTTCCCTCCCTCACCTCTCAAGGACTGAGATGCCAAATCTCAGAAGTCATCAACTCCCATCAACTTCCTCCTAGACCAGGGAGTGGGGGGTTCAGCCCCTCCCAACAGCAACGGGCCCTAGCCTGCAGTTAAGGACAGGGCCTTGTCCCCACCCTGCATTGCCCAGGGGAACTCACCATCCCTGGAGAGCTTGATCAGCTTAGCGATATATGGGTTGTCATCGTCATGTCCCTCAATTAACACGAAGTCCCCCAGATTGATTTGGACTTTGATGTTGCTGCTTGGAGATGTCACACAGATACTTCTGCAAAGCAACCACAGGGATAAATTGGACCAGAGTATGGAAAAATCAAGTCACCAAGACTCTGAGGCCAGATAAGGGAACATGCTGGTCAAGCCTGATAAATCTACCTCCCGCCCAACAAACCTTCTCCAAAAGGAAAATAGATTCATGGGGATGTGTGCCCGGGGTGAAGAGGGGAGAAGCAGAGGTGGACTGGGGGTCGCCTGGGCTTGGGCTAAGACCCTCCCCTCCTGGCTAGGGATAAAGGACTCAGCAGCCTACCAGGAATAAGGCCTCCCCTGCCTGGAGAGGCAAACAGAGGCAAGGATGGAGTACGTCCACCTGCTCCCAGTCATGTTACAAAAAAATCTGCTCCAAACAGATACAAGTCTTTCTTTTAAAAGACAGGCGCTGAGAATTTTCTTCCTTCACATCCCAGCTTAAGTCTCCCATTTTGTAAGCAGACCAGGCAAGACCTCATCTTAGTGTCCTCCCTGAGATGACCCCCAATGCATCCTGTCTATAACATCACTGTTCACATGGTGCTTCTCCTATGAGACTGAGTTCCTTGCGGGCATGGACTGTCTTTGGCCTTTCCTTGTATCCCCAGTGCCTGGCATAAAGTAGGCACTTCATAAATGCTTGTTGACTTGATGACAACTTTGGGATCTAGTGAAAAACCCCTTGAACTTATTTTTCTCAACCAGTGTAAACCTCTGGCCCCATAGAGGCTGTGCCCTAAACACTGTTAGATGGCTCCCCAAAATCATGATGGCAGGAAAGCCCCACCTCAAGTGCTGGGTGCTAATAAGCAGACTGATGGCCTGGGAACCATCTTGATCTCTGATCTCTACCGGCCCTGCAGAGTCTACTTACTTGTAGAGATTCTGGTGAAGTTTCCTGTCATAAAATTCACAGTCAAGCCATGAATAACTTCGTTTGGCCTTGAGCCTTGTGAAGTAGCGGTTCTTCATGGCTTTTGGTCCTGAGTGGGGAGGGAAGGAGAACAAAGCAGGATGTAAGACTGAAAGCATGTCCTGGACTGGTGCTGCGATGGTAGCGGCGTGGGGAACTCTTGGAGAGGCATTTCTCCTCACCATGGATGCCAGCAAGTTTGAGTGACTTGCCAGGGGTCTCACATTGGGCCAGCAGCTGGACTTCCATGCCGTGGCCTAGGCTTTTTAGAGGTTTAGCCAGTCTTAACACAATGAACCTGATGCTGGGCCTTGCAGGGACCCCTTCTTGCATCTTCCCGTCTGGGTGCTAGTTCCAAAGGCATCCTTTCTGTAAAGTGAGGGCTGGGCTTCCTGCTTCCCAAAAGGTAGTTACTTGGTGGACACTGGCCAAAAAGAGCTGGCTCTCTTCCAGGTGACCCTGAGTTCATTGGCTTTCTGACCTTGTGGCACCAGCTCCGCAACTGGGTTTTGGATGAATTGGGGGAGAAATAGTAGATTTATTCTCAGCAGGGGGGAATTAGGGGGAGGAAAGTCTTCCAGACTTTGCAAAATCAGGCTGAGGAGGCTAAAATGCCAGACCGACTAATTGATCCTTAGCCCCCCTCACCCCATGGGGCAGAGGAGAGCTCTGGAGAGGCTGACTTGTAAGGAGCCTAGGGAGGAGAAAGGCCTCCGAGGCACACAGCAGGAGCTTAATGGATGTTGGCTGAATTCAATGAGTTAATTGCAGGACATACCAAGACCACAGAGTAGCATTTCACAGGTCAAAGGGTAAAGGGCTGCAGCTTTTAAAGAAGTCTCCCATGGGCTAGAAATGTTTCTGATAAAGAGGGGCCTAAAGCCCTAGGAGATGGGGGTGGGGTTCTGTGGGGCTGAGGCCTTTCGGGCAGCCCCCTCCCCTTCCTCTTTTGACAGATGAGGAGACTGAGGCCCAGGGGAGATCCGCTCCTCTCTGCAGAGGAGGAAACGCCCTCAATGACCCCCCCTTCACCCCCTCCCCCAAGGGCGGATCCCAGAACTCACCTCCCGAAGCCTGGGGTGTTTCTGATAAGGAACCCTGCCCTTCCCCCACCCCAGGGCACTAAGGCACTAAGGAAGGTGGTGGGGGCAAATTACTCCCCCCCCAAAGAAGGCGGGGTCTGGACCCTAGAGGGCGATAGGGCAGTAAGGAAGTCCCCTTCCCTCAGTTTTCCCCCCTCCGTAAAATGAGGGCCCTGGACACCCCGCCCCCACTTCAGGCCGCTCCAGACCTAGTATCTTCTTCTCGCCCCGAGCCAGCCGGCCTCCAGGCCCCCTCACCCGACCCTTCCGGGCCCAGCCAGCTTTGGGGCTAGGACTGCCTCCTTGTGCCTCAGTTTCCCCGTGTGTAAAGGCGGGGGGGGGTCGCCTCCAGGCCCCCCCGGCCCCTCGAGCTCACCCCCTCGCTTCCTCCGCGGGTCCGCGTGCGCGCTGCTCGCCCTCCTTGCCACCGGAGGCAATAGAAAGAAGCTTGAAATAAAAAAAATTCGCGCCAAGCCGAACGTGGCCCCGCCCCTCGCGCGCACGCAAGGCTCCGCCCCTTCCTCCTCCCTCCTAGTCCGGCCCCGGGGCCTTTGTCTCCGCCTCTCCCCCTCTTCCACCCCTCCCACATTCCAAAGGACGTTCGACGTCCGGGCGCTCCGCCCCTACGTCCCCCCTCCTCTTGCCTCCCGTGTACGTCATTATTATGGAGCCGCATTTGGGCAAGTGGAGACCGTGCCAGGTTTCAAGGTGGCCGCCTCAGTGACGTCATCTTCCGTGCCGAGGCACCGCCCCCTCCTTCCAGCTCGGCTCGTGCGGAAGTGACGCAAAAAGCGCCCGCCGGAAGCGCTGTGGAGGCGGCGCCGAGGGCTTCCCAAGATGGCGAACCGGACTGTGAAGGATGCTCACAGCATCCACGGCACCAACCCGCAGTACCTGGTGGAGAAGATCATCCGGACTCGGATCTACGAGTCCAAGTACTGGAAGGAGGAGTGCTTCGGGCTCACAGGTGAGCGGCTGCGGCTGGGCAGGGTGGCACACAGTGGGAGACCCCGCGAGGCCCGGGCCCCGGACGTCTCCCCGACTCGTCTCGAGCCACCCCGGGAGGCAGCGAGCTCCCCGTCCGGGGAGCTGTCCAGGCAGAACCCTTGGAGCTCGTTGCCGACCCTGACGTTTGGATCGTAACGGTCCCTCGCGTTTCTGTGTCGCCTCCTTTCTTCGAGCACAGCGGGGGTAGGCATTGGAGACGGTTGCTTGATTGACAGATAGGTTTCTGGAGGGCATTTTTGTCTTTGTCCCCAGCATAGCCTCCGGCACATACTAGGTGCTTAGTAACAGTCCGTATAACCGATTCTCCTCTTTCAGACGTGTAAACTCACACTCAGGTGGTAAGCATTAGGGGCGGGATTTGAACCCAGGTTCTCTGACTCCAGACTCTTTCCTCTGCACCTGCCTGGCTCCTCACGATAGATTGCTGTTCATACACGGGTCGCGCGAGATCTCTGAGGTCCCTTTCAATTCTGAGGTTCCGTGATTCTAAGACACTGCATAGCTTGGATGAGGGAAGACCGATGTGATTGTGTTGGGGTGTTTCTGGGTTCCTTCTGCTTGGCCCGAGCAGGGCACAGCAGAGCAGGGAGGTCTGCTTAATGTCAGGACAGACTTGGAGCTGTCTGTGTGTGGTTTAATTCAACAAACGTGTGTTAAGCTTTTTTTACGTGCCACCCACTGTACTTAGTCCTGGGCATAAAAAATCCAAACTGGCCCAGCTCTCAACAGTGTGTATGCAGGTAAATCAATAAAAAATGTATACCTAGTAATTGTAGGAAAAAACAAAACCACTCAGAAACCTAAACTTACCCGTTTTGATCAGAAGTATTATCTCTGGATCTTATAAAAATTCACAAATCTTTTGGTCACTGTACTAGACCCTAGAATTTAGGACAAGGAGTCTCACAAAACCAGAGCTCTGGGTAAGGTCGCCACATATATGCTGAATGTAACCAAACGGATGATTCCTTGTTGCTGTTTTGAAAACTCTCCAAAGAACTGCCCAAGGGATTTTCCTGAAGCACATGGCTGCTCCTACTCAGTAAATTTCAGGGGTCCCTGCTATTTCTAGGGTCACATATGTACTCTGGCATTTAAATCCCTTCACACCTTTCCAGATGTCTTATGTGCTCCTCCTGGATGGGCATTCTGTGGACCAGCCAAACTGTCCTTGCTGTTCTTCACATGTGACATTCCATGTCTCCTCTCTGTACCTTAGTCCCATGCCTTAGAATGCTCTTCCTCTTTATCTTGACCTCTTAGAATCCCTCCTTTCTTTAAAGTTTGGCTCCGCTGCCACCCCTACATGAAGCCCTTTCTGGATCCACCTACCCCAGTTGCCAGCACCCTCTCTCCAAAAATTATGTTGTATTTAGTTTTTGTTTCTATGTAATACATGCTGCCTTCCTTGGTAAGATGCCTTCTCTTTGAGAGCAGCACGTGTTTCAGTTTTGTTTTATATGCCCGGCACAGCGCCTAGCACGTGGTGTTTATGGAGAGTTGATGTTGAAGAGAGATGAGGGCCTGCTTCCCTGGTACCCACACTGTGTCTGGCATGTGGCTGGCAATCAGTCACTGCTTCTTGAATGAATGCCAAGGCAGCTCTTTCAGACGTAGAGGCAGAGCAAGCATGTCTGCCTTGGGAGAATGAGTTTTCTCCCTGGTACCTCCCTGTTCTGGAATCCTTCCCAGGTTTGACATCATATGTGCTAAGGTTCTTCCTCAGCTCTAATATTTTCTTATTTTGAATGACGTACCTGGGGTGTTGGTATGTTGGAGGGAGAAGACATGGTCTTGGGGCCTGGTCAGGCCTTTAGGACAGGGCAATATCCAGAGGTGATGTATATAACATTGTCCATTGATGTGATCTGAAAAGCCAGAAGGGCCCCTTCAAAATAGAGTAATCATGACTGACATTTTATGGTGTTTTAAAATTTGCCAAATATATTACACAGCATCTCCTGGGAGGTAGCTACTTCAGGTAGGATTATCCCCATTTTATAGATGAGGAAAATTGAAATGAAAGAGATTGTCAATTGTCTGTCATCTCTCAGTTAATAAGTGAAGAACCTTAATCTTCCTAACTCCAAATCCCTCTGTCCACTGTGCCTCATTCCCTAAGCCAATGTCACTGCAGCCGCTATGATACCTGGAATATACCAGCAGTGTCGTGTTTTTAGTGACGCTCTCCTGACCCTCATGCCAGTGCCAGCAGGGAGAACAATTTTTCAGGCTGTTATCTCAGAATCCCAGGCTAAAAGAGTTGGAAGGGGACTCAGAAATCATCTAGCCCAATCTTTCTGTTTTACAGTGGGAAAAACTGAGGCCAGGAGAGGTCCCAAAGTGAGTGAGGGTTCAAAGCATAGGGGCTCTAGGCTGCAGAGAGAGCAGGTGGTGGTATAATGGGGCAGCATGGTAGAGTGTGAAGTCAGGCTGGAAAAGGTGGATTGGGGCTAGATGGCAGAAGGCCTTAAATGCTAGTGGAATTTGTAATTCAGTGGCACAGTGGGCAGAGTGCTAGGCCTGGAGTCAGGAGAGGACCTGGGTTGAAATCCTCCCACAAGTTATGTGACCCAGGGCAAACCATTTCACCTCTGCCTGCTTCTGTTTCTTCAACTATAAAATGGGGATAACAACAGCACCTGCTTCCCAGGATTATTGCGAGAACAGAATGTGATTTTGTTTGTAAAGCACTTAGCAGGGTGCCTGGCCCAGAGAAGGTGCTCTATAAATGCTAGCTGTTATAATTATCATTGTTATCATTGAAATTTCTACAGGCATTAGGTTGCCGTTGAAGGGCTTTTGATAGTAGCAGGAAAGGGGATGAGAACCTGGCCTTGGAGTATGTAGAAAGGAAACAGATGGTAAGATGTTGGAGGGGTAGAGTAATTACAGAACTTGTCAACAGATTAGAGGATGTGGGGTACAAGGAAGAGGGAAGGGTGACTGAAACCGTGCTGGCCTTGGGGTCAGGCACCAGTTTGGATCTGGCCTCAGGCATTAGTTGTCTCAATTTGGACAAACCCTGTCTGCCCTCTCTGGGCCTTGGATTCTGCCTCTAAAATGAGAAGGTTGCACTAGGAGACCCCTGAGGTCCCTTCCACCTTTAGATTCGTGCTCCTAAGAGCTCAGGTCTCTTAATTCCCTGTCCTTTGTTCTCTTACTGCCTTCAGATCGAATGCAAAATTCTCTGTTTGCCATTCAAAGCCCTTCATAGCCTACTCATCCTGCCTTCAGGCTTCTTACACCTTACTCCCTGGCATGTACTCTTCTGGCTAGTGTCACTAGCTGTTTTCACCAGCAAGACTCTCCATCCCTAGGCTCTGGGCAATTTTTCTGTGTGTTCTCCCTCCTCGACTTGACCTTCTATGCCTTCCTTCAAGTCCCAACTCAAATTCCATCTTGTCCAGGAAGCCTTCCCCAATCCCACTTACTTCCAGGGCCTTCTCTCTCTTAATGATTTCCTGTTTATCCTGTATAGAGCTTATGTGTACCTTTTTGTTTGCTTGTTATCTCCTCTGATTAGCTTGTGAGTTCTTTGAGAGCAGGGACTGTCAGCCTCTTTTTTGTATCCTTAGTATCCTTAGCACAGGGCCTGGCGCTTAATACATGTTTATTGACTGACTGACTCTGGAAGAACAGGACCTCCTTATTTGTTGCTGGGATTATAAACTTACAGAATCTTTTTGTAGAGCTGTCTGGTAGAAGGTATACACTTGACCCCTAAAAGGGGTGTACTTCCTGCTTGGGGGTTTTCAGTCCATGTTGTATATAATTACAATCAGACTTTACCTAAATGTCCAACAATAAGACGTTAATGTCATAAAATACTTTCATGCAATTAATAGCCTCCAGTGTCCAAAGAATACAGACACATTTGGGAAAACTTTATGAAATGTACAGAGTGCCTAAAAAGCAGCACCCAGAGTGTGGCAAACCCACAGTAACCGTCAGAGGACCAGGAATCCTGAGGAGGGGTAGGAACTAGGTGATATTGCTTGTACCTTGAAACTAATACAGATTGGAGTTACTAAGCAAGGTTAGTTGACTATATATTATATTATATATTGTTTTAAATAATTGAAACAAAGTGAAAGGCCAATACTACATGTTTCCTTATTAAATCGTTTCACATTCCATGATTCTGCATTCCTTAGAACAATGTCCTGGAGTGCCTCTTAGTATCAGTTCAGAAAGGCCAACGACTGTCCTTTTCAGGTTATGGGAATGGGCAGGGCTATTGAGAAGGGAAAGCTACTTTTCCAGTCATTGCCTTAAGGGTTTCATGAGACTTCTTGATGAATATATTGAGCTGAGGACGAAGTTCTGCGTCTGCCCACTGACAGTTCCTGAAGGTTTGTGAGGTTGGCCTTGGAATTCCCTCGTCACTGTGTCGGTCTTCTGGTTTCAGCGGAGCTCGTCGTTGATAAAGCCATGGAATTGAGGTTTGTGGGGGGTGTCTACGGCGGCAACATCAAGCCCACTCCTTTCCTGTGCCTGACCTTGAAGATGTTGCAGATACAACCAGAGAAGGACATCATAGTGGAATTCATTAAAAATGAAGATTTCAAGTAAGTAAGAGACATGCAGACTCTTTCTCTGCCTGAACATCCTGTTCCCCATTCACTGGAACACTGGCGCTTTGGCTGAGGGGGTAGATCTCTAGCATATGACTCTCCATTGGTCTTCTTCCCCCCTGGATTTTGTCCTTGAAGACTGTAACCTCTTCATTTCTTTAGTAATTGTGTCTTTTTTGGTTTTCTTTACTTCTTTATTGAGTTTTAACTTTTCAGTAGCTCTTAAGTAGAAATTGACTTATATTCTAGTGACAAATCCTTTGATAATTCTCTTTGACCTTGGACTCCTCAAAACCTCCTTGGGCCTCAATATCCTTATTAGTAAAGTGAGGAAGGTCCTTTCTAGCTGTAAAGCCCTTTTCTAGGGATGATGTACAGAACCCAATCCCCCCCCCCCCCCACCAAAAAAAAAAAAAAGAATCCCCAGTCACTTTTATCAGAAGTGAGCTAGGAATGTGAGTTTGTTGCATTGGCCAGACCCTTTTAAGAGACTTATCGACAACAAACTGGAGGCTTCCTGGGGGAGGATCACAGCAGGCCAAGTCAGAGAATTTGGCCATGCTGTGGCCTGGAGGGAAGAGTCCTGGGGCTTGGGCTGTCATATGGAAGAGGGTCGGGCTCTTCTTTGTAAGAAGGTGGAGGTTCGGGAGGTGGACTTTAAAAGACCAGGTTGAGCTGTGCTTCAGAAAGAGCTTAGAGGCCAACCACGTTGTTCACAGAAGAACAGCCTGCCTTGAAAGGTCACCAGCTATCCAGTAGAGATATTGCAGAGAGAACCCCTTCAGTGTGGGGGAGGTTGGGCCTGTGATTAACCATGGGATTAGAGGGGAGCAGATGGGCACCTTGCTCTGCCTTTCCTCAGTTAAGGGTTAATCCACCCTCCACTTGAACACCTCCTGTGATGGGGACCTCACTTTCTTCTCATGGCAGACCATAACACGTTGGACAGCTCTAATTGCTAGGAGTCTTGAACTCAGATCAGCTTCTCTCTGATGTTTAATATAGCACAACAGGGCCCTAGAGCGACACAGGCAACAACTACCACAAAAATCACCATTTCATTAAGCTGAGATTATGCAGGAGTGTAAAAACCGTCCCTGAATTCCATTTCATCAATAAGCCGTGCTCTGAACATAATCACAGTAACTCACCTTTCAGCTCTGGGATTCTGGGCAAATCACTTTACCTCTTTAGTCACTCTCACCATAAAAAGAGTGTGCTAACACTTGTACTTCTATCATAGAGGGAGGGGGCAGGAGGAGGGAGAATGTGGAGAATGAGCCTGTGAGTAAGCTCCATGTCAGCCCTACTGTGTGCTGGAGCCATGAGCTGATGCTTCCTGAGCTACATTCTGTGCCTCCTTTGATCCCCATGATGGCGACCCTGGGTGGTAGGCATTGCAATTATCCCTGCTCATTTTACAGTTGAGGAAACTGAGGAGTGAAGCGGGAGTCACAGTGCCAGGAAGTAAGTGGCAGAAGCAGCTCTTTAACCAGGTCTGTGAGGGAGGAGCCTTTGCCTGAAGCTGCTGGCTACAGCTGCTCCTTCCCCCTCTGCCAAATGGGAGATGATCAAAACACTGAGAGTGGACTCATTTACATAAACTCATTCAGTAGCTGTTTATGAAGCTCCTGGGTGTGTGTGTGGCAGGGGGGAAGGCTTGGGATGGTGTTTTTGTGTGTGGGTGTGTGTGTGTGTGTGTGTGTGTGGGTGTGTGTGTGTGTGTGTGTGTGGGTGTGTGTGTGTGTGTGGAAGGCTTTGGATGGTGTTTATTTGGCCCTCCCAGCATTCCTGGGAGGAGAGTGAACCTCAAATGCAAAGGAGTAAATCAAGGCCCATGAGGTAGAGTTACCTGCTTGAGGTCACACAGCTAATGAGTGGCAGAGCCACTTGACTAACAGGCTGTATAGTTTAAAAACATTTTTATTTCATTTTATTGTTCATTTAATAAGTATTTATTTTCTCTCCTTCCTACCCCATTCCCAACTTAAAAACAAAACTCTTGTAACGTGCATAGTCAAAACAAATTCCCCTGTTGGTCGTGTGCATAAATGCATCATTCATCTGTCTGCTCTCTGTTAGGAGGTGGGTAGCAAGCTTCATCCTTGGCCTTCTGGAATCATGGCTGCTTATTGCATGATCTGGGATCTAAAGTCTTTCAAAGTGGTTTATCTTGACAGTTTTGTTATTATTATTGTATAAATTGTTCTCCTGGTTCTGCTCACTTTACTCTGCTTCAGTTAATATAAGTCTTCCCAGGTTTCTCCGACATTATCCCTTTCATCATTTCTTATGGCACATGTAACCTCACTTGTTCAGCCATTCCTCAGTTAATGGGCATCCCCTAACTGTCCAGTTCTTTGTCATCACAGAGGGAGCTGCTACAGATATTTTTGTGCACATGAGGCCTTTGCCATGGCTCTCTTTGGGGTCGGTCTTGACAGGTCACTTGTATGTTCAGAGGGAATTAGCCTTTGCTTGAATTGTAGGGTGGCCACTTATTTCATCGACTCTTCTTTCAGGTACGTCCGCATGTTGGGAGCCCTGTATATGAGGCTGACAGGCACCGCCATTGACTGCTACAAGTATCTGGAACCTCTTTACAATGACTATCGGAAAATTAAGAGCCAGAACCGAAACGGAGGTGAGCGTGGTGCCGCAGGGTTCTGCAAGCCTGGATTAGTGACCCTTGTCAGATTTTAGTTTGATCCACACCTACCCCCCCATGGATCCCCAGCTTTCCCAGTGGCTGCTTAGTTGGAGGGATATCATGAAATCCGGAATTGGCAGGTAAAACCCAAGCTATAGTGAGGAAGGAGAAAGGCCAAACCCACATCCAGTCCTATTGGGAGGACCCTGGGAAAGGGGAGCCCCAGCAGTGGTGCCTGACGCCCCTGGGCCTTTTTTGTCCTTGTAAATCTCCCCCACCCCATCCTCGGGAAAAGGTTTGGTCTCTGCTTACAGCCTTCCATCCTACACTTTGTTGTCAAATGGATCTTCCATAGGCACAGATCTTAACATGTTGGAGCAGATTTAAAGTCCTGTTTGGTTTTTAAAGCTCCTCGCAGCCTGGTCCCCTTCCACCTTCCCAGCCTTCTTACCCAGTGACCCTGGCCTCCTTGCTGGTGCTCACACAACACACTCCGTCCTCAGATTCTGGGCATTTTCCCTGCCTGTGGCCCATGCCTGGGATGTTCTTCCTGCCCCTCTCTGCCTCTTGCCTCGAGGAAGCCTTTTCTGATGCCCCTCAGTGCCAATGCCTTCCCTCGGAGTCCACCCCTGGTTTATCTTGTTTGTCTACAGTTTGTCCGTGGTTGCTTATGCACTGTCTCCCTCATTAGGTTGTGAGCTCCTTGAGAGCAGGCCTGTCTTTTCCCTTTCTCTGTATTCCTAGCACTTAGTATGGTGCCTGGCACGTAGCAGGTGCTTAATAAATGCTTGCTGACTGACTGAATGCTATCTGAAGTATGAATTCCTTTAGCAGCCTCCTCCCACAAGGTGCCATACTTTGGTCATTTGATAAAACAGAGTCAAAGTTCCTTGAGAACAGGGGCCAGCTCTGCTTTGTGTCTCCACGGTCCTAGCTCATTGGGGGAATGTTGGGAGATCTTTGGTGATCGGGAACCTTTTATAGGGTTGCCCATCCTATTGCTGGAATGCTTTAATTTTGAGGAAATTCCTCCTTATATTGAGTCAGAGTCTGCCCACAGGGGCTCTCGTTGTGGCCCTGTTTCTCACCAGCCCGTGTATGTGACTTCGTTGCTTCCTTTCTGCCTCTCCAAATACTGTTATTATTTCTAAGTCCCAGTTCCCACCTGGTGTTCCGTTGTGCTGAACTATTGGATTTTTTCCCCCAGAGTTTGAATTGATGCACGTAGATGAGTTTATCGATGAGTTGCTACACAGTGAGCGGGTCTGTGACATCATTCTGCCTCGGCTTCAGGTAAGAGGAGACGGTCACTTCACACAGGGCTGTCCCCTGGCAAGGTCGTCCCGGGAGCATCCTTGGGGCTTGGGGAGGGGGTGGTGGGTAGTGTTTTGGAAGGAATGACAGGAGCTAAAAATGAGCTGGAAGTGAAAAGCTCAGGCCTTTGGGCACTGCAGATGGGCCTCCTCTTTGGCAAAAGGGAAAACTCAGCCCTAGTGGCTTAAGGAAACACAGGTTACATGGTGTAGTAGGAAGGTTACGGACTCGGGACTCCAGAGATTTGGATTTTGGTCACTGATGGGCCTTGGGCAGGTTGTTTTCTCCTCAGGTCTCTACTACCTCTGAGAAATGAGGGGTCAGACAGATGACTTCTGTGGTCACACGCACAGCCTGCCAGCTCCGAGCCCACACTGTTCAGGTTTCTCTGCTGCCAGAGCAACAGCCTAGAAAGGATCTGGCTGTGCGTCCCTGTGCAATGTCCTGCATGTGCTGGGCTGGTGGTTCCCGTGATAGCTGGGCAGTGGGGGAAGGATGGGTTACAGAGCAGGGCTGTGGCGGCGAAAGCCTCATCAGAGGGACAACCTGGCTTGTTGCGGCCAGGCTGAAAAAGCAGCCAGTCTCGTTTCCCTGTTTGACCCTGAATGAGCTGGGCGTTAAGTCCACCCACCCAGCCGTTGACCCAAGCTCCCACTTAAGTGTCTCCTGAGACCTCGGCTCCAGACTCGGAGACTGTGGTCTGGCCCTGCTGCTTAGAATTGCCCTTTGTGGCCCCCTGCGGGGAGACTCACGCTCTTGGGATTGGGAGGGCTCTCAGACGCTGGTCTGATCCACTTCTAAATCAGGATTTCCTCCAGGACAGCCCTGACCAGTAGCTGGGAAACCTTGGCTTGAGAACCCCTAGGGAGGAGGCGGGACACTCTGTCTCAGGAGGCCCTTCAGCCTGCTTCTGGGCCACTTCAATCGTGAGGAAATTTGAAATCTGCCTCCCAGTGAGGCTGCCTCTGCTTCTCCTAGTTTTGCCTTCTGGGGCCAAGCCAAGGACGTCCAATTCCCCTTTCCCATAGCATGGGGATACGGACTAGATTTAGATGGAAAACTCTTGGGGGGAGGAGGCAGCTTGGCACCTTCTCTGCAACTTAAAGTCTTTAGAGTTGCCCAGAGGGCTGAATTAAGTGACTTTCCCAGGGTCACATGGCCTGGATGCAAAACAGACAGGACTTGAACCCAGATCTTGTTAGCTTTGAGGCCAGCTTTCTATCTACTATGATGCACGGCCTTTCTTTTCAAGATAGCCCTGCAAATGCTGGAAGACTTGTACCATGCCCCCTCCCTGTAGTTTCCCCTGCTATAGGTTAGGTTTGCATAAATATCTGTTTCCGTGGCTATATATGGGGCAGGCAGAGCTCCCCAACTGCACTGGCTGAAGCCAGGCCTTTGTCCCCTGTCTGGAGCCATGGTATTTTTCTGAGTCGGACTGGATCCTAATGGGCCCTCAGGCTAGTGCATGAGCCCTTGTCCCAGGGGCTCACCACCTTGTTTGTGTGGCCTGGTGAAGCCTAGGGGCCCTTTCTCAGAATCATGTTTTTAAATACCCAAGATCAGATATGTAGTTTTACAAAGGAAGCCAATTATAGTGAAATCTAGTCACTCACAAATCTTTATTTGCTGATTTATTTTAGAGAAGGTCGGTTTACTCCAGGTGAAAAACCCTGCTGTAAGAGGGATTGAAGAAAACTGAACTGAGCTTTGGGGCAATGTAGAGGAAGCCACCAGAATTCCAGGGGTTTTGTGGGTTTTGTTCTGTTTTGAAGCCAGTGGTCCATCCTGGAGTCCCAGATCTGGCCTGGCCTTAGGAGTGCTTCTGGCCCCAGCTGCAGCTTTGGGTCTCCTTTTACGTGCTTAGCTTTGACACATGCTCTGTGTAGCCTGAGAAGGGTGTACTAACAGCAATGGATAGAAGGGGCAGAGAAGTTAATTTTGCCTTGATATCAGGGAAAAACTTGCTGAAAATGAGAGCTGTCCCTGGGGGAGCAGGTTTGTTTCTCTGACATTGGAGGTCTTTAAGTGAAGGTGGAATGAATGTTTGTCCAGGTGTTGTAGAAGACTCTCTTGTTCAAACCCTCCCAGCCCCAGACATCCCCTTTGGCCTATTTGGAGACAGTTGAGCTCCCTGGGGGCCCTCCAAGAGGGCTGACCAGAGCCAGGCCGGACCTCCTGTCACTGAATCTGGGTGTCCTCAGTCTCTTCCCATTCTCAGCTCCAAGGCGCTTTCCAGCTGTCCAGTTCTAGGAAGCTCCCTGGGAGGCCGGCTGGACCGAGGAGCCCTGTATGTTATCATTGCCCACCGTTTCTCCTCCCCTTCATGGATACGCTTGGCAAGGCTTGGCGTCTCCAGTTCCTCTCACGTCTGACTTCCAGCCTCCTTCCATCACTAATTGAAGCAGCTCTCTCCAAAGTTACCAGTGATCCTTTAACTGCCAAGTCATTAACTGTCAGGGAGCAGCCCCTTCTCCCATGCAGAAGGGCGCCTCTTCTTGCCTTCCAGCCTTAGAGGGTTGCCCCGGGGGATTGAGCTAAGTGGTTTGCTTGGGATTGCCCAGCCAGAGTGTCAGGGCAGAGCTCAAATCCGGGTCCTCCCGCCTGTGTCCGTGGCTGGCTCTTTTACAGACTATGCCGTGCTGCTTAAATTATTGTTATTCTTTCACCAGAAATTTCTTGGTGTAAATGAGAAATGTTTCTTAGGCTCTGAAGCCTGGGTTGGAGTCCTGGCTTCTGTGGAAGTCCCTGCATCCTGTAGCGCTTCCTCAGGTGTAAGTGGGGGTGATGCTTCTGCTGCCTCCTCACAGGGCTCTTGAGTGGGGTGGAACAGTGCTGGTGCCCTCACCGTTCTGCTCTTTGTAGAAGCGCTATGTGCTGGAAGAAGCCGAGCAGCTGGAGCCCCGCGTCAGCGCCTTGGAGGAGGACATGGATGACGTGGAGTCCAGCGAGGAGGAAGAGGAGGATGATGACGACAAGGTCAGGCCGCGGGGGTGGGCCTCCTGGCTTCTCTTCGGAGCCTCCTCCCCTGTCTGTTTCTGCCACATGGACTGGGCATTCGTGCCCCCTGGTGCTCCACCCTGGCACCCTGCACTCAGGGTCCTTTCTGTTGTACTTCATTAGAGCTCAGCCGCTGAGGCCGGCTCCAGGGGCGGCCGCGGCCTCAGTTAGAGTGGGTGAGACCGAAGGATCCCAGTTTCACTTTGAAGTTTCTGGGGTTGATTCTGTGAACTTGGCTTTGTCTGTCTGTCTGTCTGTCTATCTATCTATCTATCTCTCTATCCGTTTATTTTCAATATTTTGTTAGCTACATTTTAACAATTGATTTTCTTTGTAATTCTATGCATTTTGTTTTGTGTACTTAAAAATACGATTCTGGAAAGGGGTCCATAGGCTTTCCAAGACTGCCAGAGGGGGTCCATGAGCCAGATAAGGTGATTAAAGAACCCTTGATTTCAACAGCTAGACAAGAGGATGGAGAGTACTGGGCTTGGGGTCTGGAGACTCGGGCTTTTTCCTTTGTACCATTCACTGCCTATGTTACTCTTAACCTCCTTGGGCCTTTGTCCTCATCTATGAAAGGGGGATAATAACCTCCCCACGTCCCCAACTTGCTCGGAAAGATGTGTTGAGAGAAGCACATGTGGAGTACTTTATAACTGTTTCCATTATGCAAGTGGGATCCAGCTCTTCTGGATGCCCCCTCACCCCCATAGCCCCCTCAGCTGGAGATCTCTGGCAGCTGTGACACCCTCACTCCCTGTGAGACCTCCCTGGGCTTTGGTTTTCATCCCTAAGGTTGGCATCCTTTCTCCAAAGCCTCTGAGTTAAGTATGATTGCCTAAGGGAAGGGGCAGCAAGTGTGCTGCCCCTCACATTGGAACCAGATGCTTTTCTGGTTTTCTTCCACTAAGTAAAGGCCTTTTTCGTAGCCAGAACACCTAAGAGAGGATGGAATCCTTCCTGCCACCTTTGGCAACTGGTGCCTGGAAGCCCCAGTAGCTGTTTCAGATGGGCAGCCATAAAGCTTCTGTTTTGGGGGGGCTCACTGTTTACTGAGCACTCCAGCGTGCCAGCTGCGCTGCGGGCCCTCTCAGATAGCGCGAGTGCTCCGCTGGGCACTGTGAAGATACAAAAGAAACTGGTGACTAGCGCCTTGCCCTCAAAGAGCTTAGAGTCTAAGAGGGAAGATGAAACAGATGCCTGTGGAAATGTATCCATGGGCCAGCCAAAGACTGGTGAACTCCAGGGCAGTTTCTGGAAAAAATGGTAGATACTGCCCCTTAACAGCATAGTGCCTGGCACATAGTAGGTACTGTGTCCGTGCTTTTTGACATTCTCTTAGCTTCAGCAAGCACTTGTTAATTGCCTGCTGTGTGCCAGGCGCACACAGTGACCGAGACACCGGCAGGTACACAGAAGTCAGTATAGAGGTATACAGAGCACTCACTGCCAGGGGTGGAATCAGGAAGGGCTTCCAGGAGGAGGCTGTGCCCCTTATGTTAGTGTGGACTTCTTTTTTGGAAAAAGAATCTTAATATTTTAAACGTTGTTGTCAACAACAACCTTTCTTTCCTAAGCCCCGTCAAGCTTTCTGCCCCTTGTAGTTATTTAAGTGTAATTAAGAAAACAGAGCCTTGGTTCTGTGGATGTTGTTTGAGGAGGGCAGGACATTGTGCCCTCAGTCCTGGGGCGTCGAGGTCCGTCGCTGTGTGGGGCTGAGTTCTGCCATCAGTTTGATTGTGGCTTTCTTTCTGTTTTCATGCTCAGCTGATGTCTGTCTTACTGTATTTCCCTGAATTCCTCAGATCAGTCCTTCCCTATGACACAGTAATGTCTTGGCACGTGCCAAGTAGCTCCCCCATCAAGAGATGTTGTGTGTGGTGTGGGGGTGTGGGTGTGTGTGTGTGTGTGTCGTGTGGCTGGTTTCCTAAAGGCAGGAAGAGGTGGACTTGTTGATGGGAAGTGGGAAGGCGTTCTAATAATCTAGAATCCAACGGGAACTAGAGAAAAGAAAGCGTAACAGGAGTGTAAGCCTTTGATTTGGTGGGCTGCCGTTGGCACTACCAGCTCGATGTCCCTCGTGGCTCTCAGGGGTGACTTCGTTGCTGGGGCCCGTCAGCATGCTGATCTACCTGTGGTTTGCCCGTTCCAGCTGGAGAGGGCCCCATCCCCAGATCACCGCCGGCGAAGCTACAGAGACCTGGACAAGCCCCGTCGCTCCCCCACGCTGCGCTACAGGCGAAGCCGGAGCCGCTCTCCAAGGAGGTGATGTGTGCGGGGGGAGACGGCCCTTCTGTTAGGAATGAGTCACTTGTGTGGCCCTGAGGCTGTGGTTTGCATGGGGTCGAGGGGCCACTCCACGCTGTGTGGAGATCAGCTTGGGTACCCCACACTCAAGAGAATTGTCTTTTCTCTCCTTACAGGCGCAGCCGATCTCCCAAAAGGAGGAGGTAAGACTTTTACTCATCTGGGAACTGATTCGGTTCCGTTTTAGCGGACATTTAGTAAATGTTGCTGTGCGCAGAGGCTTGGGTTAGAATCCTGCCTCTGCCGTAGTCTGTGTGAGGCCTTCTCTCCAGGCCTTGGGTGCTAGGACTGGGCGATCCAGCTCCACATTTTGGGGTCTGGAATCGTTACGAGACTTGTTCTAATGCCGTGTCCCCACAGTCCATCCCCCCGTCGAGAAAGACACCGCAGCAAGAGCCCTCGACGCCACCGGAGCCGATCCCGAGAACGGCGGCACCGCTCCCGATCCAAGTCTCCAGGTATCTGGACTCTTCCGGGCCAGTCTTGTCTAGCCACTGAGCGGTAGGGTCCAAACTGCCGGTCCCTCATGCAGGCCTTCCCACTGGGGCTGGGGCTTTAGGCTGCCATTCACAGAGTCGTGGGCTGCTGACAAGGCCTCCCACAGGCCGCCCTCCTGTGGGTCCAGGAGGAGGCTGTGCTGGAGCCGTTTTCCTGGGAATGCCCATCTCACTCACCGTCCGTCCTTCCCTCTCACAGGTCACCACCGGAGCCACAGACACAGAAGCCACTCAAAGTCCCCTGAAAGGTACCCTCACCAGCGTTACGCTTCACCCTGAATTCTGGAATGGGGGGGGTCACAGACACACAGACACGTTAGCCTGCTGTAGTAACACTGGACTTGGAGGCAGAGACTAGGTGCTTATAAGCAGCCCGACTGTGAAGTGGGTCACCTTCCTTTTCTTGGCGCCACCTGCCTCACAGGGTTGTAAGAAAGCCAAGCCCCTTGTCGGCCTTAAAGTGGTATGAGTCCTAGGGGACAGTCTGCCCCCGAGCCTGCACAGCCAACGGGCAGAGCCCTTACCCAGGTGTGCCTCTCCTGTGGCTTCCACGGGGCCTCCCCCAGTGGAACGATCTTTTCTTCCTGTTTTCGGTGTTTAGCACAGTGTCCCACACACGGTAGGTGCTTAATCAGTGCCTATTGACCTCGCCCTTTCTGCTCACCTCCCACTTGGTGCCCTCCATGGTCCTCATCGAAGGGCAGGTCTGTGTGCTTAGACCCTGTGCACAGCAGGTGCTTCACAGGCGTTCACTGATTAAGGGAGTGAACCCTGGGCAGGTGCAGAGTGGAGTCCTTTGTGCTGTTCTTTCAGGTCAAAGAAAAGCCACAAGAAGAGTCGGCGAGGGAATGAGTAACGGATGCCGCCTGACCAGTGTCTCCTGCCCACGTGGCCAGCCCGGAGTGGCCCCGCCACCGTGGCTGCCGCCGCCCTCGGCCCCTTCTGTGGCTCTTCCCTGCCCCTGCCCCCGTTTCTGTGACTTTTTTTTTAACTGGCCTAAGCCGAGCCATGCTGAGTTTCTTGTGACGTGAAGACTTATTTTGGACCCTTCCGCATTTGTCCGGTGGAAGAATAGGATGTTTCGCCCTAAGGGCCGCCATGACTCCTTTTGTACCCCATTTCCTTTTTTTTGGATTATATGAGGTTTATCTGCAGACAGATTAAACTGATCGACTAGGGTGCAGTGTCCCGGCTCTTTCCTTCACTGACTTGGTTATTAAACATTACGTAGTCCTGTTTAGCAGCCTCCGCTTCGAGACAGCTGGCAGACAGGACAACCTGTTTCTTGTGGGGCAGTGGAAAGAATGTGGGTTGAGATTCCATGGACTTGAGTTTGAATTCTGGCCACATGACCTTGGGCAAACTCTTGAAGGAGATAAGATGTAGGGGGTTGGCCTTGATAATTCCTGGGGCCCCTCCTCATTCTGCATCCTATAAAACAAAGTCTTAGAGTGGTCCAGCCTGGCTTGTCAAATGCTTTGGGCATGGAGATGACAGTCACCACAGACTTCCGGTTTCATGGACAGGGTAGCGAAAAAATGGTATACGGGCACCTGTGATGTCAAGGTTAATTATTTCTATTCTATTTTATAAAGTGTATAACCACTTACTCTGGGCAGGGTCCTGTGTTCAGGGCACAGATGAATGAGTCACATTTTCAATCCTCAGGGAGCTTAACCATCTAGGGGGGAGATAAGAAATGCACACAAGTGACTGACTTAGCAGAATGATCGGTGTGTGTGTGTGTGTGTGTGTGTGTGTGTGTGTGTAAAATAAGTACAAACCAATAGTTATGACTACTGCAGGCTGAGAGTGAGCCCTGCTGGGTGGGAGGGTCTGAGAGCCGGCAGCACCAAGCTAAGCCCTGCCCAGGGGAATGTTTAAAAGCATGAGTGGGTGTGGAGAACAGTTCAGGAAAAGGATCGATCAGCATGGGCAAGCAGGAAAAGGCAGAATAAGTGTCAAGGACACCAAGTAAGTCAGACACGAGAGGCCTTGAATGCCAAATTTGGGCAAATGGACTTCTTGAAAAGGCTTTTCCGAAGGGGAGTGATCATCAGATTTTACGTGTGCATTAGGATGATACACGGTGGTACGTGGTAGGTGAAGCTCCAGCATGGAGTGCTTGTGTAGCACACTCATAAACAGCTCTGGTTCTAGAATGGGAGAACCAAGGCAATTTCTGTCATACAGTGTGGGCATGTGGCCAAGCCTACCAGGCAAAGTGGCCAAGCAAGGGAATGTTGTATTGTGCAGGTGACAAAGTTGGGAGGGGAAGCTAGGACATTGGAGAGCCCTGATTGGACCACACTGGAGGCCCTAAAAGGAAATCTGCAGACCAGAATACTGGGCCAAATCAAGTAAGAGGGGATTTAGTAGGGATAAATGCGAAGTACCATACTTGGGTTCAAAAAATCAACTTCCAAATGTGAGACAAAGATGTGGCTGGACAGAAATTCATCTGAGAAAGTTCGGGATTGGGGACAAAGGATTCAGTGGGGTCCAGGTTCCATAGGAGTCAATAGTGTGATGTGACAGCCAAGAAAGGCTACATTGAGAAGCCTCCTGCCGAGGACCAGTGAGTTCTTGGAGGTGGGCACTGCGTTTTTTCATTTCTTTTGTACCCCCAGGGTTAGCATAGGGCACATGCACAGTAAGGTTGGTTGAGTGGTTGAATTCAGCACCGAGGAGGCCACACCTCGAGTACTATGCTGTATGTTCTAGGAGCCACATTTTCATGAAGATGGTAATAAGCTTCCAAGTGTTTCAAGGGAGGGCAGTCAGGTTGGTGCAAGAACTCAGGTCAATGCCACGAGGGTTAGTTATCTGGAGGAACTGTAGACATTAGTCCTGGAAAAAAGAAGACTGATGGGGTAGGGGTAGGGTGGGGGGACACACACCAGTCAGTCAACACGAAGTGCTTAATTTGTGCCCAGCATAGAGGAGTTCACATTCTAATGGTGGAAACTCTGTGTACATAGATACATACATGAGATGCACTAAGTGGACAGATGGTGATCAAAAGGGAAGGCATTCATTAGCTGGGAAGGCCTGAAGGAAGTGGGGTTCGAGCAAAGTCTTTGAGGTGGCAGAGCATTCCAGGTATGGAAAGCCGGTGCAAATGGAGAGACTGGAACCCAGAACAAAGTCTAGGAAGGCTGGAAGGTTGGCAAGGCCCAGCTTACAAAGAGTTTTGAAGGCCAAGCTATTCCCTCGGAGGCCACAGGATGCTGCAGGAGCTCAATGAGCACGTCTCAGGAACGGTACCATCAGACTAGGCTTTAGAAAAATCACTGTGGCAGATGACCGGAGACAGATTGTAGTGGAGAAGGCAGGGAGGCCAGGCAGGAACGCGACTGCTGCCAACCAGGCAGAAGATGAGGGAGTGCACTATGGTGGTTATGTTGGAGGAAAGATGGGGACAAACACGAGATGGGAAATGACAAGCCTTGACAATACGCTGGCTATATGGGGGGGAGGTGAGGAATTGAGTGACAACAGGGTTGAGGGCTGGCTGGCTGACTGGAAGAGAGGAGGGCTTAATGGGGGAAAGATCAATGAGTTCAGTTTGGACATGTTGACTTTGGGATGTCTCTGGGACACCCAGATCAAGATGTCCAAGAGGCAGCTGGAGATTGATTACTGGAGCTCAGGCAGGAGAGAGGTTAGGGCTGGATATATCTGGCAGTTCTCTGCAGAGATAACGGAGCCAATGGGATCTGACAAAATCACTGAGATTGTTTAAAGTGAAAAGAGAAGGGGGCCCAGATCAGAGCTCTGGGGGACACCCACAATTAATAAGAATAACATGGAGAAATGGAAGCTAACTGAGGGTGGGAGAACCAGGAGAGAGCAAGAAGGATGTGAGCACACAGGAGGGGATCAGCCGTGTCAAATGCTACAGAGAGGTAAAGAAGGATGAGGACAGCCGAGAGAAAAGGCCCCAGATTTGGCATTCCAGAGATCCTCCACTTCAGCTGAATGAAGAGGTCAGCAGCCAGACTACAGAGATTTAGAGCTGAGTGAAAGGAAGGGAAGGGAAGACCCCAGGAGGAAATGGCTTTCTCAAGCAGTTTAGCAAAAAGGGAAGAGAGATACAGGACAAAAGCTAGACAGACGGTAGGATTAAGTAAGTGAGGGTTCTTTACATGGGAATGTTCATAAACTGTAGAGAAGGAGCCACTTTATCAGGAGAGATTGAAGATGGGAGAGGGTGGGGGTGATAGAGGGTAATGCTGGAGAAGATGGCATGAAATGGATTACCGGTGTGTGTGGAGGAGCTTAGCCTAGGCAAGGAGCAGGGCCACGTCTTCATTGGACACTAGAAGGAAGGAGATAGGGCAGAGATGTCTGAGTCATGTTAGATGGCGGGGGCAAAGGGAAGGCTTTCTATAAACGGTCTGTTGTGGTCAAAGAATTAAGCCTTTTTCTCCTTGGTCCCAAAATGCAGGACTGTGCACAACGGATTGAATTTGCAAAAAGGCAGATTTAGGGTTGATGTATGGCAAAAATTCTATTGTAACTACCTGGAGAGGTGAGTGCTGGCTGGCAGCTTCTGCAGGGGAGGGGGGCTGCTGGTGCTGGTCTGCATTGGCCAGCTGGCCTCCAAGGGCTCATCTAGCTCAGCGATGGTGATGCCATTCACCCAACACTGAACAGGAGAGCAGGAGCTTTTACAAGGCTCTTAGGTCAGTTCTCAGGTCTCAGTAAGGCCAGGGGGCCGTGGGGCACATCAAGGCCTCCGCGGTCGCCAAACTGGACTGGCAGAAGTCAGCATTCGTAGAGACTGTGAAAAGATCACCCAGTCCACCCTGCTGACTTCACAGATGAGGACGCTGAGACCAGAAGTGAAAGGATGAAGAGAGAGCGAGAACGGACTGAACCCAGGACTGCGTTGCTACTTGTACAACAACAGCCTCCCTCCTCGTGGTTACATCAGGTCAATCCAGCTTTTAATCCTAATTAGGAAGACTATTAAAGGTCCAAATGATGTAACACAGACAAACCCCGTGCTTTCTGCCTTTAGCCCAATACCAGTACTGTACAGGAGGATCGGTTTCCCCCTTTTGGTTCATTGCCTCTGTGTTCACACTGCTTTTAACAAAAAAGCAGACTGAGTAAGCCAGGTTCTTCCCACCTCCTAGGTAAAGGCAGAGTCAGATGCGTTACACATTCAGGGCAGAGCAATATATTCTGCTCTGAGACAACACGCAGGTAGCGGGGCACGATGGACGATAGTATTCGATTTGGAGTCAGGAAGATCTGAATTCAAATCCTGCCTCAGATGCTAGCTGCAAGTCATTTGACCTGACTCCTCATCTGATAGTAATGGCATCGCCCTTCCAGCGCTGTTGTGAAAACCAAATGAGATAACCCATGCAAAATGCCGTGCAAACTAACTTTCAAAGTGCTATAGAACTGCTATTACTGCTATAATTCTATGCAGACATATCTTATGAAAGTTATTTAGGGACAATAATGATGGTCTTCTCCCTTCCTTCCCCCCAAGTGCTTGAGTTTTCGCAGGGACACAGAATCAGGTTCTTTGCACCCCAATCCCTGAATTACTTAGGGCGCCAGGGTTGCCATTCCAGGTGCCAAGGACAGAGGAGAAAACCTGAGAGGCATCATGGTGCAATGGGAAGAAGGCTGGATTGTGTCCAAGGCCCTGGGTTCAAATCTCAGGTGAGCCTGTTTTTCATGTTTTGTAAAAAGAAGGGGTTGGACCAGCAGTCTCTAAGGCCCTTCCAATTCCAGGGCTGTAATTCGATGATGATGATGATGATGATGATGATGATGATGATGATGAAAGAGAGAACACTTTGCCCCAGCACTCCAAGGTTTCCCAGCTGCTTGCCTCGCTCCCCTCGAGCATCCTACACTACCTATCGTCAGAGACACAGCTTGGCCTGGTGGGTCGCCTCAGGAACACCTGGGCTCC